TCTCTTAGGGCCCTGGTCTCTTAGGGCCCTGTTCCCTGGGGGCCCTGGTCTCTTAGGGCCCTGTTCTCTTGGGGCCTGTTCTCCGTTCTGTCCGGGGCCCTGGTCTCTTAGGGCCCTGTTCTCTTAGGGCCCTGGTCTCTGGGGGCCCTGTACTCTTAGGGCCCTGGTGTCTTAGGGCCCTGTTCTCTTGGGGCCTGTTCTCCGTTCTGTCCGGGGCCCTGGTCTCTTAGGGCCCTGTTCTCCTTTGGCCTGTTCTCTTAGGGCCCTGGTCTCTTAGGGCCCTGTTCTTCGGGGTCCCTGGTCTCTTAGGGCCCTGTTCTCTTAGGGCCCTGGTCTCTTAGGGCCCTGTTCTCCGGGGTCCCTGGTCTCTTAGGGCCCTGGTCTCTTAGGGCCCTGTTCTCTGGGGGCCTGTTCTCCGTTCTGTCCGGGGCCCCAGTTCTCCGGGGGTCCTGTTCTCCTTTGGCCTGTTCTCCTCAGAGGGCCTCCAGCCGTGGCCCCGCCCGGTGGCTCAGCGGGGCGGGGCCTTGCGGGGCCCCTGCTGGGTGTGGGGGGGGGCGCAGCGGCAGCCGGGGCGGGTGGCTCGGTCCCAGCAGCGCTGGCCGAGGGCCAGGGCGGCGCGGGCGGGGGGGTAGCACAGCAGGCAGGGCAGCAGCGGGGCCAGCAGCGTTAGCAGCGCCCAGCGCAGCCCGCAGCGCGGCGCCGCGCACGAGAAGGCCGCGTCCGCGCACGCCGCGCCCCCCCCCTCCTCCTCCTCCTCCCCCCCGCCCGAGCAGTGGTAGAACAGCGCCCGCACGCAGCAGGCGCAGCTGCCGTACTCCACCGCCCCCGCCGCCGAGCACAGGCAGCGGCCCCCCCACAGCCAGCAGGCCGGGGGCGGGCGGGGCCGCCGGCAGCCGCCGCACACGCAGCGCCCGCACGCCGCGCAGCGCTCGCCGTGCTTAGCCCCGCCCCCCGACGCCATGAGGCCGTCCTCGCCCAGAGGCTTCAGCTCCTGGGGGGGGGCGGCCCGGGCGGGCTGGGCCCGGACCACAGCGGCCCCCAGCAGCCGCTGGCCCGAGTCCCCGTCGCCACGGCGCCACGGCAACGCCTCCCCGGAGGCGTGCTGAGGCGGGGGGGCGGGGGGGCCGAGGCCCTCAGGGGCGGGCGGGGTCAGCGGGGGGCCCGGCCCCCGGCGGGCTGCTGTAGGCCCCTCCGTGTACTCGTTACTGCTGCCGGACGTCCTCATCTGGGCCAGGGCCAGCGCTGGGGGGGGGGGGGGCCCGGGGGGGGGGGGCGGCCCCTCGGCGGCGTGCGGCGGTGGCGAGGAGCGGCGGGGATCCATCTGGCTGCTGCGATCCATGAGGGGCCGCTGGTTGGGGACACATCTGCAGTCCTGGGGGAGAGGGCAGAGTTTATACCGCCATCAGGCCAGCATGCAAATGACCACATGCAAATCCCAACGGCCGGACAAACGGCCCGTGAGGCCGGCGGGCGTTTGGCCGGCAGGTTTATCTGCTGCCCGCGGGCCGTTGGGCCCTGAAGGAGGCGTCACATGACCAGACGGGACACACACTTCCTGTCAGGCTCTGAGGGGGAAGGCCACACACACATAAAGCCCCCGGCCAGCTTCTGTAGACTGCTTCAGATCAAAGTTCAGCTTTCTACACGTCGTTATTGAATGTTTTTTGTTTTTAGGGGGGTGTAGTAGGACGCCCTGCGATAGATAGGAGTGGAGATAAGGTGGAGCAACTTAAACTGCTCCGGGTGGAGTGAAGGCTCCCTGCAGAGGGCAGAGCTGACCGTCTGGACCCTCCTCTGGACCCTCCTCAGAGGCTCCAGTCTGGACCCCTACAGGAGCTGCTGTAGTCCGGGGCCTGCTGCTCTGTTTGGGGCAGAGCTTTTCAGAACAGTTCTGGAGGTGTTTGTGTTTGTCTGGAGCTGTGAGTGTCCAGCGGGGCTCGGCCGGATTTATGAGCCGAGGCCACGATGGAAACAGATGATGGAGGCCAGGGGAACCAGAGGGAAAAAAGGGCTAAAAATGGCCTTTAGTGCCCAGCTCTGACAGGAAGTAGTGAGATGTGCCTCAGGAAAGTTTGTTTACATCATTTTTTAGTTGTTTTAAAACAAAAACCCAGCCAGTAAAAAAAGTGCAAACAGCTTGGCTTGGCCAAGATGAGAGCCAGAAGTTAACAGTTTAGAAAAATAACTTTAATAAGTGTTCAATCTGCTGTAGAGAAGTCCTTTAAAATGTGTGAAAGTTCCAGAAAAGCGGATGAGTTGCACCCACCGTGCTGTGGCCGCGGCGGCCGGCTGCGGTCCGTCCCTCCCTACTCCCGCTCTGCTGCCGGGGCTGGAGTCCATCCGCAAAGCCTCCAACCGGGGCGCATTTCAGCGGAGACGCGAATCCCGGGTTCTGCGCAGGAGCACGAGGCGCCGAGCGCACGCGGAGCCGCGGAGCATTCACGGCCGCCCGGAAAACCGAGCAGGTCTGGAGAGAAAAGAAGCGAGGGGCCCGGGAAAAGGCTCCAGAGGTCCCGCTCCGCGTGCGTCCGGTCCCACAGGCTGCGAGCGGCTGCGCGTGCGCTCAGCCTCGCGCTGTTTTCCACTCTAACTCTCTCTCTCTCTCTCTCTCTCTCTCTCTCT